GTTTAACCGCTCCCCTGTTCCTCATTCGCAACATGCCGATGCCCCCGTCCTCTCATAGCTTCGGCTCTTTCGCCTATCTTACCTTCACCACGATCATCGTCACATTATCTTAAAACAGCCGAATTACAAAAAAGCGTGGAAATTGGCGATAGCGACGCCGTACATGCGAAGCCCATGTCGAAATGGTACCACTTGACTCACATCCTTGACCGCTACACATTCCGGAATTGTGAGAGCAAGACAAAATTGAGAAACATCGCACATTCGAAGAGATACGTCCTAATCTTACCCTTGCGAGATCTCCACCTTCAACAGCCGTCGGAGGCTGGTAGTTGATTCCAACTTGAAACCTGTTGGGCACCTTAACAAAATTTTCACGTTACATGTAGGACGAAATGTTGTCAAAATTAATAATAATTTAAACATTTCAACGCAAAGAGGATGACTGTCACTAATTCAGAGATGATGACGGACCGTACTGGGTATCAATGGCCAAAGCCACCTACGTGTAGTTCTTCAAGCACCAGCGACTAAGAAACAGAGATTTAATGCAAATGCAAATGCCATGTCGAAGATCGTGAATTTTAGTCTACCTTGGGTATTTACGAATTTCCGGCCGAAGAAAACCAAATTTCTGATCATCATGACCCTAACTCTAACGTTAAGTAGAAGGAAAGAAAGGATCGCTCGAATGGATCAGTTGGGTGTAAAGGCGGTAATCACGATGGCTGGAGAGCAGGGTCGGTCCTATCGTTGCTACTTTTCAAAAAGTTTTTACGACCCCTCCCTCATGAAATGTTTCATACGACCCCCTCTTTCAAACAATTTTTACCCAAAAAATTACCGTCGAGCGGGGGGGGGGTATACTTACCGTAAAACCACAAAAGGAGGTATATACAGCAAATTTTCTCCCCGCGCCGCTCCCCACTCATCACATGCCACTTCTTACAACCCGAAGCAAGTACGACCCCCCCTCTACAAACTCACCAAAATACGACCCCCCCGTTGCTACTTGTAGCAACATAGGGTTGACCCTGGTGGGGTATACAGTTATTACGATGAACTAGTAAATACCCAGAGTTCTGGGCAACCGACCAAAGTGTCAGGGAACGGTATCGAACGTCAGTGTCATTTTTTTTTCTCTCGCGACTCCACATCTAACAGATGGTCGCCCATACTCATTTTAACATACTGGATTAGAAGGGATAACTTTGTAGCAAATATAAGTACCTCTAAAGGTAAATATGGGACAAATTGATAAGATGTGGTGCCCTGTGCATATCGCTGGATGAATCACGTTGTACCATTTAAGGCTATCGAAATCGTCATAGAGCTGATTGTAAGAACCACGGACTTTAGAGAAAAAGAAAAGTACCAGTCAACAAACTGATTCCTCTTCTCGTCTTGACGGACGCGATCGCTGCGTTGACGTCCTTCGGTACCACGTCACCACGATAGAGTAGACACACCGCCTAGATTTTGCAGTAATAAGGCAATCCTTGAAAAACTTTCAGTTTAAGCTGGCTCACCATGTACTTTCCCGTTCGTGGATCACATTTCACCATCTGATTGCAAGGCTCGAAACACATGTTTGTAATATCCTGTACGGAAAGCGGCTCATGGTAGGCCTGGAAATTTACGGTTGTAGGAGTCATACGCTCTCATAGGAAATGAAAAGGCTGACAAAGCGATAAAAAATGATTAAAAAATAAATTCATGAAAAAGGGATAGCGATTTTAGAAAATGAGAGCTATCACAGGAAACATCGATGTTAGAGTTTCAACGAGTATCTGTTGCCTGGTCAGACGATCGCAGAAGTTATTGAGATTGATTATTGAATTGAGAGGGACCATTTTTTATTATTGCTAAAAACAAAGCAAATGGTCTACAGCATGTTGGGAATTTGAAAAAAAATAAGCTTTTATTGAACACTGAATGCTGAAAATTCTTGTGGTCTGTAGAATGTCGTACTTACTTTTTCCGCGGATATGACTGGCGCATAGGTGGCGAGAGGGAAGTGAATCCGTGGATACGGTACAAGATTAGTCTAGAAATGTATTATTGTGAAACAGGTTAGTAAGTTTGAAATTCAGTTGTCATACTTGGAACTCGGTCAAGTCGACGTTGAGAGCACCGTCAAAACGAAGCGATGCGGTTATCGAGGAGACGATTTGGGCAATGAGGCGATTGAGGTTGACATAAGACGGCCGCTGAAGCAACAGAATTAGTGATTTTAGAACTAAATAGATAAAAAAATAAATCGGTGATCTAAAATACTGCGCACAAAAATGTCTTGTACATATTGTTCACGCAAATGTGTACAAATTATAGCAAAGGGAAGAAATCTGCCTGAACCATATAAGGAAAACTTCTGAACTACAGTTTACCCATAGCTGAGGTGTTGCATGCGCTCAGCCTTGATTTTTGTTCTCGAAACGCGGAAAAATGTTCTTCGCTGCACCTTATTCCTCATGTAATAGAAATATTGGGCAATTGCTGCTGAGCCATACACTTTCAGGATTGGCCATGCATTCAGCGAGCACAGGACATTACATGCACTGAAATGATTCGCCACTTAAAGGCAAAAGTCGGAGTTGCGCTCAGACCCACCTAAGAAGCCCTTACCATGGCTAGAAGTGCTGGGTACGCAAGTGCAAAGGTAGCGCCACCTTTCTACATCGAAACGCGTCACTAGGACCCTAGGCGCCATGGACTTCTAACAGACTCCACCAAACTTAACATGGTCCGCCCACCGTTCGATATCTTGTCTGCGTCGCACGTTGCTGCTATGCTCTCTCTTCTCGGACTTCTCTACCACTCTCCGCGCTGCATTAATCTCGTCATC